TATAATTTACATAACGTATGAACCATTTCTAAATGACTTCTTCTTGCAGCATTCGGCACATCCAAGGACAAGATGCTGGTCATCGAGGAGTGCAAGAACTCCAAGGCTGTGACCATCTTCTTGCGAGGAGGTAACGCCATGATCATTGCGGAGGCTAAGCGATCGATTCACGACGCCATCTGCGTGGTGCGTTCTCTTGTAAAGGACTCGCGTATTGTTTACGGTGGAGGAGCTGCCGAGATTAGCTGCTCGTTGGCTGTGGCCAAGGAGGCCGACCAACTGTCCACACTGGAGCAGTACGCCTTCCGCGCCTTCTCCGTGGCCCTGGAGAGCATTCCGCTGGCCCTGGCGGAGAACAGCGGCCTGCATCCCATCGAGACGTTGTCGGAGCTGAAGGCCAGACAGGTGGCCGAGAAGAAGGCCAGCTTGGGCGTGGACTGCATGCTGTCGGGTGATTCGGACATGAAGAGCCACAACGTGGTGGAGTCGCTGCACTCGAAGAAGCAGCAGATTCTGCTCTCCACGCAGCTCGTCAAGATGATACTCAAGATCGACGACGTGCGCTCCAAGAACGAGGGCGGCATGTAACGCCCGCCTTAGCACCACACATCAGATCTAGTTTCAGATTCACATCCTCTCGCTTCGCTATCTCTTCACGAACAACACCCGCGTTAAGCCTCATCTCTCTGTACATCTGTATTAATTGTTTAATTTTATTAATCCACAAGTTCTTTGGAAAAGAAGAAAATTACATTAAACAAGGGGCTATCCCTGTTCAAATACACTAAAACGAAACTAAGACATCGACTAGACTTTCTTGCCATTGATGGTGGCCAGTTGTTTGCGATTGATTTGATCAAAGAAGAGTAATCCCGCCGAGCGTTCCACGCTCTCTGGCGGCACCTGGAACACGCTGATGGGAGTATCGTTACTGATCACCTGGTTGGGCATCACGTAGGACTCCATGTGGAGCTTGTGGTCCGCGGATTCGCTCACAATAACCTTGTAGAAGTGGGTGGGAACAGCCACAGTGTTAGCGCCGATGACCTCGTACTTAACATACGTTTTTCCGTCGTCCTCCTTGTGCGGTAGGTACAATGGACCCGTGCAGACGTACACATTGGAGAAGGTCTTGGTCAGTCGACGCACGTGTGCCTCCAGAGTGTTCCAGGCATCCCGGTTGAAGCCCTGGCCCACCTGTGGCGCCATATTCGACAGGTAGAAGGTTTCGTCGCAGTGCTTTTGGTGCAGTCGGTGATTTCCAGCGGCGGCCATGTGCCCGCGATCATAGCCCGATCGTCGGTAGTCCGTATTTTGTGACCTAAAGAACGGATGGATGCTCTCGTCCTGCTTGAAATCGCACTTCGACCTGTCCACGGCATCGTTCTTGGCCACCGACTCTGCTGTTAGGTGCTCGAACACCCAGTGGGGCACTCGGTTCCTCCTATCGTAGGACAGCACGTAGTCCGAGTGGGAGCGCACGTGATCGAGTCCCGGAAAACCGTACTTCATGATCTGACCGATCCGCGACGGAGTTGCCGCCAGGCTAACATTGCTCTCTTGGGCGGGAATCAAACTGGCAGCCGAAACTGTTCCAAAGGTGGGTAGACCAGGCAGTCGCGGAAGGCCACTAGTTGAGCCATCGTGCCGGCGTTCGCGCTCCAATTGGGTGCCCAGGTAAAAAGCGCCCAGGGCGGTGGCACCCAGGGCTAATACGCCACCAACTCGTGGAGCACTCATCTTAGCAGTTTTATTTATAAATCTGGACAAAAAGGCCAGATAACGGACCGCTATTGCACAATTCAGGTACTTTAGTGTGGCCAAACTTGAAAGTGGTCAAACGAAGTACAGTGACAGACATAAGTATTTGCAGAGTATGGGAAATGGTGGTACTTAACATTTCCAAATAGATTGGCCTCCTGAAGAGCCAATCCTCCGTGCTGGCCGCAAAGCAGAGCATCCGGAACTGACCAACGAGAAGCTCGTCCACCATGAGAAACGGATGCACCTCGAACTGCAGGATGTTGTCCTAATTCAAAATTCCCTCTTCCGTGACCAGAGCTCCCTTCGTGCCTATGAGCTCCTACTATTATCGAACTCATTTGCAGTTTCTATTTCATCAAAGTTATTGGATGTTGTTATGAACGAAATGTGACCAACAAATTCTTATTTTACAATTTTATTGCTCTCCAAGCTTAGCTTAGATTAAATATTTAACCTGGTATAATTAAATTTAAACTGAGTTGTGTTTGGAAATATACTTACAAGCTTCTGAGCTTCAGAGTAATGTAGACACAAAAACTCACACGATATACCAAAACCTTCCAAACACCCAAACTAAAACCAGACATTCTTATCTTAAACCAAAGACAAAGATATGTGCATATTGTGTGTGTGTATAATCTGAAGAAGGGGCTTTTTATTTCGCTAAAGATCCGCGTGGAATCGTAAATTACAAGTAATCTCTTTCCGTTTCCTGGGCCACCTGCCACTCTCTAGGATCCCACGATGATGTTGTTGATGGGAATGTGGATCAGCTTGACGAAGAACCCGATGAAGCCCATGATGGCGAAGCCCACGGCGGTGGCGATGGCGATTTTCTGGAATTCCTTGCGGTCGGGCTTCGTGCAGCGCTTCACCAGGCGGATCGAGTCCTTGGCGAAGGCGCGTCCGGGTTCGGCGAATTTAACAACCTTGTCCATTGTGTATTTATGTGTACTTAACCAAGAATTTTCAATAAAGTGAATTGATATTTATTTTGCTGCCGTGTCGTTTCTTGCAGTGTTACCAAGCTGCCCAACTCAAAAAGTACTAAAAGTGAACGCTTTCCCCATGAGTTGTTTCTACATTCTTTTTATTTGTTATAAAAATGAAAGTACTAGCATTTTTGAATACATTTTTTGTTTAATTTTAAGTGAAACTCATTCTATTAATCATTAATAGTAAGTAAATCATTTCACAAATCAATTAAACATTTTTATAGCTTTCAGTGCTGGTCACACTACCGCGAACAGCAGTAGAATTGCAATAAATATGTAATTTTTTTGCGATACAAAAATGGAGGAGTCGCCTTACCTGCACAGCCCCTACCAGGTGGCCATTATCGCCACCGACCTGCACCATGAGGACACTATAATCCAAGCAGCCCAGTCCCTGGACTGTCTACACAAAACCATAAACTCGATTTTCGAGCGAATCGATGCCCGCTTGGCGAGAAATGGTTCAAAGGTTGAGGACATAAACAATCGTGTGAAGCGCGCCCAGGCGAAAATCGATGCGCTCGTTGGCTCCAAGCGGGCCATCCAGATCTTTGCACCCGCCCGCTTTCCGGGCAGTGACGTCTTGGCACCGCTGCCAGCCACCTTTCCACAGGTGGCAGCCAATCCCCTGATGGAGCAGCAGGTGGACCAACAGCCGCAACGGCCGTACAGCAGCCACAGTCCCGCGGAGCAGATTCAGGATGATGCGGACATCTTTTTTCACGTACGTAGCGACCGGGAACAGGAATCGCCATTGGTTGCCGAGCGGAAGATAACCAATCGGACCGCCGGCCTGGGAAGCCTTCCTGCGGGCTTGGTGCGCTCCGTACCCTCGCTAATGCGATTTAACACCAATGAGTTCGCCTACGGAGAGGATCTGAATGCCTGGAAGCGAGCGCTACCGCCGCAAAATGCTCGACGCGTTGCCAGTCAGTCCGCGCAACTCACAGCCGAGAACCAGCTGGCTCCGGCACCCCATTCGCTGGCCCATGGCACCACCAAACTGGCGACTCCAGCTGGTGACCTGCGCTATAATCCTGCTGCCTTGGCTGCACCCGCCATTGATGTTCCGCTGGACCTGCCCGACCTACCCGGCATAGCGAATGACCTGCAGTATGAGCCCGTAGAGGAACAGACACCAATAGCCCCTTCCCAGCAGTTCGGTGATTTACCGGAGCTGCCCGACTTGGGCCTTGAGGAGCAGGTAATCACAGTGCAAGCCATCGCGGCACGGACGCACATTCCGGGGCCTGCGCGTAAGAAGAGTCTGGGGCAGTGTCCATCGCCAGTTACGGTGGCATCACCACCGCCTCCTCCGCCACCACCACCGCCGCCACCACCTCCTCCGCCAACGCAGACGACGGGAATTCCATCACCGCCACCCTTTCCCACCAAAGGAGCAGTGAAACCGCTCTCCCCATCACTATCAACACCTCTTAATATGCCGCCTCCGCCTCCAGCTACTGAAGATCCGCGATCTGAGCTTATGGCTGCCATAAGAAACGCAGGGGGAGTGCACGGCGGTCGTTTGCGGTCGCCTGCGGCTGCTCCGCTCGACGTGGTGGACAACACTCGATCTAAGGCGGGGGCCGCTGCCACGGGGGATCTGATGGCAGACCTGCACAACAAGCTTATGCTTCGACGGAAGGGAATTTCTGGGAGCCAAAATCCCGTGGAGGCCACTGCTGGCAATCCCCTGATGCAGCAACTCTCCCGCGTTATTCCGCCGCCGGTGCAGCCCCGCAAGGGATCTCAGTCCAGCGATGAAGCACTTTCCGAGGATGACGAGGATGGGTGGAACTAGTGAATGCAGGAGCAATAGGAATCAATCTCGTTTGTTTAGCTTTAGCACCGACTTATGTGCCTTGTCTGGCTTAAAGCACTAGCTTCTCTAGCTTAAAGCATACCAATCTTTAGAACGAATTCAAAATTCTGTGCCCAAGCGAGCATGCCAAATTAGATCAAAGTCAACCAGTTGAATAAAAATAATAGCCGAACAATGTGCAATTTTTTATTAAAAACATGAACTGACTTCTGTTTAAAAATTAACATCTGCAATTCAACATTTTGTGATTTCTTATGAAACAAAAATATGGTTTATACTGACTATTAAATTTGAATCGATATTAAATATTTTAAAAAATACTTCTAGTAAATCTATAAAATCGATTTTATAATAATAGTTATTTTCCTAAACAAATCCCCCTGTTAAATTGTCTAACAGCACTGTTTCTTTGCTCACAGCCAGTGCTGTAAAATGCCGCAGTAGAATCACATTTCGGGTAAAAACAAGTTGAAATAACAAACGAATTTAAATATTTAAGTTTCCAAATATTTTAAGTTACAAATTAAAGATAAGGATAAGTACTACTTGTACGCTGGAGGAGAGCTTCTACAAGCAATCCGGGAAAACCACATATAATGACAAGTCCGTCGCGGGATATTAACGATCTTTTTGACGAAATTGTCCTGACCGAGGAGAAGCAAGCGCGTTTGGGCTACGAGGAGGGACTGAAAGACGGCCAGGAGCAGGGTAACGAAGAAGGCTACAAATTGGGGTATGCCCAGGGAGTCTCCCTAGGCGAGGAGCTCGGCAACATCCTGGGTCAGGTGGTGGCACAGCAGCAACTGAAACACACGGACAAGGTGCGCCGCAGCTTGGAGCAGCTTCGCTCGCTCATCGAAAAGTTTCCGCGCACCAACGATCCGCAGGCGGATATAGTAGGTGCTGTGCAGGACATTCGATCATCCTATCGTCGCCTACGTGCCTTGCTGGGATCCAGAAAAACGACTGCTGCAGCGCCTTTGGAACCCAATTCTGCCGAGCATAAAGACTACAGCTTCTAGCAGCATGTCGAAAGTGGGAATTGCGCAGTTGCAGAGGCGTCTGGATGGTTTACTGGCATTCCTCAATCCTCACTGGGATTTTGTCAATTGCCACATGGTGAACTACTTGACGGAAGAACACTGGAATGCCTTTCTTTCCGAAACCCTGAAAAGTGAGATCTCTGGCAGTGAAGATGTGACTCTGGCTATAGATAACTTATTTTGGAAAACTGATGAATCGGTAAGGTTTCCGGCATGGCGAGAATTCCTAGGAAAGAGCAAGCAAGAATGCCTAGCGCTTCATCCGGAATTGCTGACCAGCGTGGAGGAACTCATTGAGGGACAGGAAAACTCCACGCAGCTAAGCATTCGGGAGTTTATGAGCGCCAAAAAGTGTCATGAGGTAGGTGGACTCTTAGTTTGAATACCAGAATATTAGAAATATGTTAAGCTCTCCGATTAGGTGGAACTAGCAGCCGCTCTTGTGGACCATCTTGTAAAGAATTATGGTCAAGGCGGTTTCATTGTGGACGCAGGTGATGGCAAGGGGTATCTTTCCTCGCGCTTGGCGCTGCAATACGGTCACCGTGTGCTTGGCATTGATGCGAACGCGGAAAACACACAGAACGCCTTGAGTCGGAATCTTAAGCTGCAGGTAGGACAGGCTTACAAAATAAAGTTAGCTTTATTTGATTACTTTTGTAGACTTATAAGTAAGGTGTGTAAGTGGATCCATTGACTAGTCGCGCATCTCGCCCTCCTCGTCATCGTCCTCCATGCCCTTGATGTACAGCACGTTGTTGCAGCGGATGAGCACCTCGCCGAGATTCCCGGTGACGGAGCCCTCGATCACTTCCTCCGTGTTGGCCAGCTGCATGTTCATGTAGCCGTCGACTGAGACCAGGAAGCCCTTGTACTCCTGTCCCCACTTCAGCTTCACCAGCACCGGTTTTCCCGTCAGGCCGTTCAGGAAGGGCTTGGGGTTGATGGGCATACCAGCCGACATTGTGTTTATTTGATTTTTCTTCGGTTCTTAGCAAAATAATACAACAAGCGTGCCGAAAATCGCCGGCCTTTCGCGTTTTTTAGTATAGTGTGACCGCAGCTGGGATGTTAGAATATACCAGAGCAAGAAGTAGAATGACATAGCAGAACAGTGCTGGAAAACCATTTCTAACCGCCAAAATTAAAATTTCATTTAATTTCAGCGCGCTTGGAATGGACTCACGGAACGAGCGGAGCTGCAAATCCAAGGAATCACGCCCAAGAGACGGGGTAAGAAGTCCCCAGCCAGGGACAGCACGAAGAGTGCGCCAGCCTTGGAAAACTATAAAACAACGGCCAAGTTTATAACTACCGAACTTAACTTTGGCGCCTTGCTGGCAGAGCATTTCACTCAGTTAGGCCCGAAAGAGAGTCCAAACATTTGCCTTACTGGATTGCATACTTGTGGCAACTTAGCGGCCACCTGCCTTCAGGTTTTCCATGCCCAAACGGACTGCCGGTTACTATGTAACGTTGGCTGCTGCTATCATCTGCTGAGGGAACGCTACTCGCAGCAGGAATTCTTTGGCAATAAGGCCCTGATGGACCTGCAAACGGACTACGGATTCCCATTGAGTCAGTACCTCCAGGAGCGACAAGTGCGGATGGGTCGCAATGCCCGGATGCTGGCGGCCCAGTCAATTGAACGCACCGTGGATGCCAAAGAGCTGCCCAATGTAACGCTCTACTATCGAGCTCTTTTGGAGACTCTGGTTTACCGTCATGCCCCGCAGTTGAAGAACGAACTGCAGGTGGGCAAGGTCCGGAAATTCGAGAGTTTTCAGGAGTACATTCAAAAGTGTGCCAATAAATTGGATGCTCCTTGGTTGGCAGCTGTCGAGGAAGAAGAACTTCAATCCCTGCTCCAGGAATATGCTGTGGATAAGCACTATTTGGATCTGTTCTATCTGCTACGTATGTCCTTTGCTCCGGTACTGGAGAGTCTGATTCTCCTGGATCGCCTGCTCTACCTCAAGGAACTTGGCTATGAACGGAGCTATCTTATAAATTTATTTGATCCCGTCATATCGCCCAGGCATTTTGCAATTGTTTCTATAAAGCCGCTATCGTAATGATAGTGGCAATCACATATGTATCAAGAGTTTGACGGGAAAGTCGCTTCTATTTAATTATTTATAGATAGCTGTACTAAGCTGTAATAAACAAAAGTTAAACAAGATGTTTACATTAAAAATCATTAAATAAGTGTAATCATGACTTGTAATTATTTTAGGATCACGCTTGACTTGCTTTGAAATTCTTACGAGTGGTTTGTTTGTCGTATTTTTTCCACCACACAGGTGAATTTATATGCATGCACTTTAAATTGCTATCTCAGAAGTTCTGAGACTTCTGAGTATAAAAACGCAAACAACATTTAAAATCGCCCCAAGTGCGGTGCGTAGAGCTTTAATTGTCGGCTGTGTGCTCGGAAGCTCAGACTGAATAGATTCACTAAACCTTTCCTTGAGATTGCTGGAAAAACTTGTTGCGATTTAGGCCAGTTGTAAATAAGTCGTGTGACTATACGCATCAAAAACCGGTGTATATTAAGAGTAAGGAATGAAATTCTGGTCACAAAATTGGATATTTTAATTTCAAATAATCAAATGTCCTTGAAAGAACCCACTGTTTGTAGAATTTAAAGGATTTGTGAAATTTAGGGTTACTTGATGTCCTGTTATCCTGATGTCCTGGTTGTACAGAAATAATGCGGATATTTGATATGATGTATTAAATTTATTTAATGATGTTTAAAATAAAATCCTTGCTAGTGAATTTTTAGCAGCAGATTTGGTTCGCGATAAAAGTATTTCACTTAACTTTATCAGCAGTTTAGTTAGATGTAGATATGGCATTACTACAAGAGAATCATAAATCCTGATTGTAATCCACCTATAACAACTAATTTTAATTCGCGTTGGAATGAGGAAGATAATGGATGTTAGAAATAATTAGTACGGCTGGATTAATACAATCTAGGGTTTTAATAATCGAGATAAGATAACGTTTGATTAACAGATCAAGCGACTAATTACAGAGTGGAGGACCCAATTACACCGACATCCTCAAAATGGTGATGACCGAGGTCCTTTTCCTGGTGGTCGCCGCACTGGTGGCGATCTACTCGTGGTTCCAGCGCAACCACAGCTACTGGCAGCGAAAGGGCATACCGTATGTCCCGCCCACCCCAATCATAGGAAACACGAAGGTGGTCTTCAAGATGGAGAACTCCTTTGGCATGCACATCTCGGAGATATACAACGATCCTCGGCTGAAGGACGAGGCTGTGGTGGGGATCTACTCGCTGAACAAGCCCGGCTTGATTATTCGCGACATAGAACTGATCAAATCCATTCTGATCAAGGATTTCAATCGTTTCCACAACCGTTACGGCCGCGCCGATCCCCACCGCGATCCCTTGGGCTATAATAACCTATTCTTCGTCCGGGATGCCCATTGGAAGGAAATTCGCACCAAGCTCACTCCCGTATTCACCAGCGGAAAGGTTAAGCAGATGTACACCTTGATGCAAGAGGTAAGGATTTGTCCTAACCCTTTAATATCAATAGAAGACTTAAATTATTTGCTTTACAGATTGGAAACGATCTGGAGCTGGCACTGAAGAGACATAGCGAAAAGAGCTCAGGGAAGTTCATAACGGAGATTAAGGAGATCTGCGCCCAGTTCTCCACGGACAGCATAGCCACCATTGCATTCGGAATCCGTGCGAACAGCCTGGAGAATCCCAACGCAGAGTTCCGTAACTACGGACGCGAGTTGTTTGCCTTCACCATATCCCGTGCCAAGGACTTCTTTGTGGTCTTCTTCCTGCCCAAGCTGGTATCGCTGCTACGCATCCAGATCTTCACGCAGGACTTTTCCCACTTCTTGCGCAGCACCATTGGTCACGTCATGAAGGAGCGAGAGCAAACAGGAGAGCTCCGTAATGATCTCATAGATGTTTTGGTGGCTTTGCGAAAGGAGGCGGCTGCCGAGCCTTCGAAGCCACACTATGCCAGGAATCAGGACTTCCTGGTGGCCCAGGCTGGCGTGTTCTTCTCGGCGGGATTCGAGACCTCCTCCTCGACGATGTCCTTTGCTCTGTACGAGCTGGCCAAGCATCCCGAGATGCAGCATCGCCTGCGCAAGGAGATCAATGAAGCCTTGCTGGAGGGCGGCGGGTCATTGACCTACGAGAAGATCCAGTCCCTGGAGTATTTGGCCATGGTGGTGGACGAGGTGCTGCGCATGTATCCGGTGCTGCCGTTCCTGGACCGCGAGTACGAGAGTGTGCAGGGACAGCCGGATTTGAACCTAAAGCCATTCTACGATTATACCTTTGAGAATGGAACCCCTGTGTTTATACCAATCTACGCATTACATCATGATCCAAAGGTAGTCGATCCCATTGAGAACTACATAAGATTCCCTTTGACCATCTTGTAATTCTTAGTACTGGACCAATCCTAGTCAATTCGATCCGGAGCGCTTCTCAGCCGCGAACCGCAAGTCCATAGTGGCCATGGCATATCAACCCTTCGGATCCGGACCACACAATTGCATTGGCAGCCGGATTGGCCTGCTCCAGAGCAAACTGGGACTGGTTAGCCTGCTGAAAAATCACTCGGTGAGGAACTGCGGGGCCACCATGAAGCATATGAAATTCGATTCCAAGGGTTTCGTGCTCCAGGCTGACGGCGGCATCCATTTGGAGATAGTCAACGATCGCCTCTACGAGGAGAGCGCCCCATCCGTCCCATGAATCCCACGAACTGTGACCTATAGTGTACAAGTGATTAGATGACGGGGTAATCGCCTTCTGACAGGTGACATTTGCTTGAGTTGTGGTAATCATTACACAATAATCCGTGTCAGCAGCGGCGCTTTGTCTACTAAATAAAAACAAAATCATTATCAAATTACATTTAATCGGCGTGTTGAGAAGCTAAAGTGCCTCACCAATAAATAAATGTAATCTTCTTGATTATGAATTCAGTGCATAGGCCTCTCCAAAATGTATCAATAACCTAATGAGTCAAGTCTATAGTCTATACAGATAGGCTTAGATCTACAAATGTATTCTATAGGGAAGGTATTGCACTCCCTTTCTCCAGCGATAGAACACGCAATTCGCCAATCAAATTGCCTTTAAGATGCGACACCAGCTCAATTTTAAAACCCGAAACACGCGACTCTGTTGCTTAGTTTCCATTCAGTTGTGGTAGGCTTCATAGGTTCCCTCCCAAGAAAGAAATATCGAAAATATCCAAAGTATCCGAAATATCCAAGCTATCCAGGTGAGTTAGACGCCCAAAGGATCGCGAACCAATCGAAGGTGGATGCCGTCCTTGGCTTGGGTAATAATCGCCTTGGGATCGAGTTGCATGCGATGTGGAGTGCGCTCGGAGGTGGTAACCAAGTGGTTGCGCAGCAGGTACACCAGACCCACCTTCGCCTGGAGATATGCAAATCGTTCGCCGATGCAGCCATGCGGACCAAGGCCGAAGGGCATGTAGGTGTAGGGCGTGTGGAGCTTGCGATTCTCTTGGGAGAATCTTTCCGGCAGGAATTTGCGGGGCTGGGGAAAGTACTGAAATGGGGAGTCTTTAGGTAACTTAGCCAACTTAAGGGGATCAGTTCAACACACCTGGGGATCCATGTGCAGGGCATAGCAGGGAATGTAAACGGGCATTCCCTTGGGCACCACGAACTTGTGGAATGGAGCCAGCGAGTAATTCTTTCCAGAAGTGCACTCACGATCCAAAAACGGTAGTGGCGGGTACATGCGCAGCACCTCCAGCAAAATCATCTGCATGAACTCCAGTGACTCGATCATGTTCAGTGTCACCTGACCCCCACTTTCGACCAGGGCATCTTTGATCTCCTCCCTCAGACGCTGCTGTACATCTGCATCCTTGGCCAACTCGTACATCGCGAACGCCATGGTAGAGGAGGAGGTCTCAAAGCCGGCAGTGAAGAAGAGTACCGCCTGGGCAACCAGGATGTCGCCCTCAAACAAAAACTGATCCTTTACCCCAGATGCCTTCGCCTGTTGCGTGCTATTCCGGAACTCGATGAGAATGTCGATGAGATCGTTGCGTTTCTGCCCAGTTCTCTCCCTCTCCGACATCACATAGTTGATGGTCTTGCGCAGGAAACGAGTGGCTTCCACCGGCACCACCTTGAATCCAAAAAACGGAACTAGATCTGGCAAGAAAAACACCAGAGTGAATTCCGCCGCCCGCAGAAGGCTGAACTCGAACACAGATCGTCCATGCCGGCGGAACTCGCCCTTCGGATCCGTGAAACTGTTGGCACTCACTCCGTACGCCACCGTGGCTATCACATCGGTGGTGTAGAGAGCACACAGCTCCTTGGCCTCCACGTCGAAGCAGCGCATCCGCTCGTTATGCAGCGGCTGCTGGCGCAGATGGGCATCCAAGCTGGCACCCACCTCTTCGATCAAGGGAAACATCTGCTTCAATCGATGGCCGGTGAAGAAGGGCGATAGCTTATAACGCACCTCCTTCCAGGCGGGGTTCTTCAGAAAGAAAATATTCTGGGATCCCAAAGGATCTGCCTTGTGGTCAGAGTTCGAGTACCGGTTGGAGAACCCAGTGAAATCTTTGGCTAGGATATTTCTCACCATTTCAGGGTCTCTTAAGAGAAGCGCCGGTTTGTGGAACACGTGGATGCCCACGAAGGGCTCGTTCTCCGCGTCGGGATGGTTGTACAATTGGGATATAAACTCCGCGGGACTATTCTGCATGTTGAGCAGTCCCATTAGGTTCCCCACTATCCATTTGGGCTTGATTTCACGTACTCCCTTCCGCCGCCAATAGGAGTAATGCTGCTGCAGGGCCGCATACGCTATCCCAATTAGGGATACCAGGAGGATTAGCAATACGAGTTCCATGCTCACGCCACCAAACCAAATGTCCAACTGACGCAAAAAGTGCCAGCTCAACTGGGTTAAAGCTCCGTGTAAGCGGAAACTCTATTGGGGGATCATCACGATGATCCTGAGTGCTGTGAATGAATTTATTTGTGAATGGAATTGCTGGCCGAGATGTTAAGTGGGTCTGGTTCAATTCATACATATGGAAATGCGTTTTTGGCGGACGTAAACAAAGTCTTACTTTGAATTTCAGTTATCTTTAGCAGCATTATATATTTTTAAAACTATACCCAGCGGAGAATATATACCAATTTATATATGTTAATTTTAGACACCATGCTGCTCATCTGGCTGCTCTTGCTCACCATTGTGTCGCTAAACTTTTGGTTGAGACACAAGTACGACTACTTTAGGAGCCGCGGGATTCCATTCTTGGCACCCTCCTTCTGGTCGCCAATGGGCAATCTGGGACAACTTCTATTCCTGCGTATTTCCTTCGGCGATCTCTTTCGGCAGCTCTACGCAGATCCCCAAAATGGTGAGGCGAAGATCGTGGGCTTCTTCATCTTTCAAACGCCAGCCCTTATGGTGCGAGATCCGGAGCTGATACGCCAGGTGTTGATTAAGAATTTCAACCACTTCCTTAACCGATTCGAATCGGCGGACGCTGGTGATCCCATGGGCGCACTGACGCTCCCGCTGGCTAAGTACCACCACTGGAAAGAGAGTCGGCAGTGCATGTCCCAGCTCTTCACCAGCGGCCGTATGCGGGATGTAATGTATCGCCAAATGTTGGATGTGGCTATGGACCTGGAGAATTACCTCCATAGGAAGCTGGGGGATCGGCTGGAGCGCGTTCTCCCATTGGGAAGAATGTGCCAGTTGTATACCACCGACGTGACGGGTAATCTCTTCTATAGCCTAAATGTCGGCGGATTGCGTCGTGGGCGGTCTGAGCTGCTTACGAAAACGAAGGAACTATTTAACACCAATCCCCGCAAGGTTCTGGACTTCATGAGTGTATTCTTTCTGCCAAAGTGGACGAATCTGCTTAAGCCTAAAGTTTTTACCGAAGACTATGCGCGCTATATGAGGCACTTGGTGGAGGATCACCACGAGCCCTCGAAGGGAGATCTCATCAATCAATTGCAGCACTTTCAGTTAAGCCGCTCATCCAGCCACTATTCCCAACATCCGGATTTTGTAGCCTCCCAGGCAGGCATTATTCTGCTGGCCGGATTTGAAACCTCCTCGGCCCTGATGGGATTCACCCTCTATGAGCTGGCCAAGGCACCGGATATTCAAGACCGACTGAGGAGGGAGCTAAGGGACGCCTTCATCTCTTGTGCCACCCTAAGCTATGATGCATTGATGGATCTACCCTACCTCAAAATGGTGTGCTTAGAGGCACTGCGTCTCTATCCGGCTGCAGCCTTCGTCAACAGGGAGTGCACCAGTCCGGCATCCGAGGGATTCTCTCTGCAGCCGCATGTGAATTTCGTAGTGCCACCAGGGATGCCAGCATACATCTCGATTCTTGGCCTCCATCGTGATGAAAGGGTATGATTAAAGTCGAAGCTCATTGATCCAACTTACTTATGACAATCTGAATTCCAGTATTGGCCGGAACCCGACCTCTTTAATCCCGAGCGATTCGCTCCAGAGCGGTCTAGGTACATTCACCCGATGACCTACATACCATTTGGAGCTGGTCCACATGGCTGTATTGGTAGTCGTCTGGGCGTCCTCCAACTGAAACTGGGTATAGCTCACATTTTAAAACAATATTGGGTTGAGGCATGCGAGCGAACAGTGTCGGAGATTCGCTTTAATCCAAAGTCCTTCATGTTGGAGTCTCAGAATGAGATTTACTTAAGATTCTGCAGGAGCAGTTTGTAGTTATAAGTACCCAAAAACGATCGGCTGTGAGTTAAGCGCTGGGATATCTAAATACATTAGTTCCTATAATCTAAAAAGAAACTTAAGCTCCTATAAAATTCAATTCAAAACGAAACCGAAAGTATGTATGATAGTATAATTAAGGTTGCCCAGACTACCGCTTCAATGAATCACAATATATAGTTATCTGCATGCCAATTACTTATTAATTTTTGCCAAAGTTAGATGTTTTATTTTAACGCTTACCCCATTTATAAAATCTACCCAAGGCAGGTTTTTTGGCCACACACATGTTGAAATCCTTATTTTAACATGACTTAAGTCTCTGGATTCAACTTGCTTAGCTTTTCTTCGATGTCCTTGATGCGACACCGGATTTCTGGTGCCGAGTCGCGCTGGAACTTTTCCAAATTCGATTCAAAGCTCTGCCTGATCAAAGTCAGCGGCTGCTTGTTCTTGGTTCCACTCAGTCGCTTGATCAGCATAAGAACGATGTTGAGGGCCTCCTTTTTCAAACCGGAATGAGGAACTCCAGCGGCTAGAGCCACTGCAGCCAAAACATCTGTGCAAACCTTCTCGACGATGGCCTCTCGTGTTTTTGGAGCCGGTGCCTCCGTCTTGATCTTCTTTTCCTGGTTCATCTGCGGCAGATCGGGCAATTGAGCAGACTCATCGAAGACATGGAGTCGTTCGATGTACTTTGTAAGGGCTGCCAGTAGACTGACCTGCACTGGACGAGTGCTCTCCGCCAGAATGCTGGTGCAGTTTTCAGCAAAGAAAAGTTGATAGCGGTGCTGCGTCTCGATGGAGTGACGCGGCCAGGATTTACCCAATGTCTCCCAGACAACCTCCTTTAGTCGATTGAGTGTTTGAGCCCTCTTGTTGCGCTCGTCGGCAGACAGTTCCTGGCTAGTGCTGGGTTCGTCCTCGTCGTCAGATTCCTTGCGCAGCTCCTTCTTTTCTAGCAGGTTCCAGCTCATATTGTACACTTCCTCAAAGCGATCCGCCTCCAGTTGATCCAGAATTTCGCCAAGGGAAGCCAGGGCCTTGGTGCGATAAACGGGTTCCCTTTTTCTTGCTTCCCTCATGGCCGCGTCGATTATGCTGGAACAGATTTGATGGTTCCGATCTAATCCTTTTGTAAGTCCGGCCAAAGCTTGCAACAGCCGCTCTTTGCCCTCAAAAGTGCGTCCTTGCAGACCGCTAAGGAGGAGTTTGATGAGCCTTAATCGGTCGGGTTCATCCAAGGAGCTACTTAGGCGAGTGGCTATCGTCTGGATCGCATTCGCTGCCTGAGCTTTTCGTGACCAGCTAGCATCGGTGAGAGATGACTCGAGTTTGGGTATGATCACATTTAGATTGAGGCGGATGCCGGCATCCCCTGGGCTAACGTCGTTCCACAAGTCCTTCCACAGCTCAACATTAGCTTTCGTCTCTTCGTTGGGCTCTTCATGCATGGCAAAGAAGATCAGCGGCAACATACTGTCCATGTAGTCCTTGAGTAGTTCATGGTGACGCTTGTTAATAGACTGAATTGTAAGCGCAATTGAGCGATTTCCTGGCTGCTCGGCATACAGCTCGTCCAGTTTAGTGAATAGACTTTTGATCGACTGCTCTTTGGCCAAGCCCAACAGGTGGCCAATGGCACTTGCATTGTACTTGCGTACGGTGGCGTTGCGATCCTTGATGCCCACAAAGCAGGCACGAATGTACTTTCCCACCAAAGGTGTCATCTCCTTGCCTAAGCGGATGCTAATCTGTAATGAATTCGATGTTGTAGACATTTTAAATCAAATATTCCGCATACCTACCAGACACACAAAATGCGCACAACCAATCTTGGTTCCCAGGTTAACACTACCCTTCATAAGCTCCAACACTTCTGGCGTCATCTTCTCCAAAACGGTATAATCGATATAGCGCACACACTTGCCAATGGTTTCCATGGTATGATGAGACTTGGCAGCCTCCGCTCGTAACGTATCCACCGCCTCCTGGGCTTCGTTGTCGGCCCCCAAGCGAGTGGATACGTAGGAGAGCTTAGTGTTCTCCAGCTCGCCAGTGGCTCGTAGCAGGCAGGGAATCAGGGTGGCGAGGTGCGGGGCAATGAGCGCTCCTGAGGAATCAATCATATCGGAGATCGTCTTGATGCTAACTCCGCGTATCTCCGCTACTTTGTGACCCACTCCGGTTTCTAGAAGAAACGGCAATGTTGATGATGCTACGGCTGTCCCGGATTTGCCATGGTCCGATGACGAGGCGATGACACACAGCTTGCCGAGGAACGAAGCAGTGCCGTGGGCAGCGACCCTTGTGCCCTCATGAATGTCATCCATCACACGAAACAGTTGAAACCATAGATCCTTCAGCTCAGGCTCAGGAACCTCATCCACTTCCATACTGTTAACGTTGGGAACCCGACGAACCTGCTCCTCCGAGCGTAGCTTAAGGCCGTTGGGACGCTTTAAGAGATCTCTTACTGCCAGACAGCACGCGATTCGCACTCGCCACTCCTTGCAAGTGAGATTGTCCAGTAGCTCGCGCAATATTTCCCAGTAGTAACGCTCGGTCACTTCTTTTGAGTCACTCACAATTGTGTCCCAAATGGAGATCATCGAGTTCTGGATCTTGGGAGTGGGATCATACTTGTACCGATAGAGGCGAGGAATAATCTTGCCCAAATATGGCTGCATCTTCTGCCTGGACTCGGCAGAGAGGGTTTTCAATCCAAACGCCGCACCGAGTTTGCTGGTCCAAGTAGCATTATGATTGGCCAATTGCATGAACTGATAGATCATGTCCGGCTGATTGAGATCGGATGCCAGGGAACACAGCTCCTTGTACGTGGTGATGTTGCCGCCCGTAGGGGTTTTACCCAGCATTCCTTCGGCGAAGAGTTCAGTGTCTGCGGATACCTGATTGACTTTGCGTTTTCCTCCAATTAGTTGATCCAACAGCGAGTTTGCCAAATCAGTTTGGCTTGCAGAATCGGATAGCGCGTAGACCAGTCCCAGGCCGCGAGAAGCGACGTCTTGAACAAACTCTGGAACAAACAAAGGAATATATGAAGTTTAGCACTTTGGCACAAAATGTAGAAGTGGTTAATAACCTACCGCTATCATCTGAAAGGAGTTCGGTAAAAGCGAACTGCAACAGCTCTTTTTTGGCCAATACAGCTGGCCGTTGGCTGCAGTGCTTCACCACAGCTAGAAGCCACACGGAAATTGCCTGACGGGAATGCCGATTTGGTTCGGTGACCAGGCGTATTAGCGAGTTTAGGAACTGCTCAAAGTCGCCATCGTTGCAGTGTTTATTAACAAACTTGTCATCAGGTTGCCCCTTGTTTACATCATAGCCACAAAGTGTGTTAACAATCGCTTCCGAAATGGCTATGTTTAGAGCAGCATCCTTTTGAATCTTGGTCAGGGTAAGAAACTTATCCAGATTGCGTTTGGTGAAGTGTTCGCCATCGCCAATGGCCAGGTATCCGAGACATCTGGCTGACTCCTCGCGAATCTTCTGACGCACCGAAGAGCTTCGCAGTAATTGAAAGACGACGCCAAAGATAACCAACTTGGTAGAGGAATCTATGCTCGTATACTCGGTCATCTCCTCGTCGTCGTCTTCATCGTTAGATGGAACTTGGATCTCCACTGGGACATTTGGTATTTCCACAGCCTTGCCGATCATGGAGATGCATTTCACTGCTGCCGACACGAGCAACCATTGGGATTCACAAAGGGATTTTGCTGGATAAAAACGAAGTTACAGATATTTTTATCATATTCCTATATAAATTTCAAGGCGTGAACTTACAGATTATTTTTACCGCATTAACAAACTGCGGCCAGGTAGCAATGTCCTTGGTCTTATTCTCTTGTTTAAGCATAGCAATTTTGCGATTAAAGGTGTGACCCACCACAAGAAGCCAGCCATGCTTGTGCTCCAAGGTTTTTTGCGTTAAACTATTCAGGCATTCACCCACTTCTTCGTCGAATTTGTCATCGGAGAGACCGAAAGCCCAGAGAATACCATAGACTTGAGCCACATTAATACGCATAGTCTCCGAGACATCCTTCAAAGTGTTGCCAAGGGGTTCCAGCAGATGCAACTGCTTAGCAGCAAACAGTTCCGGAGCGGCATTCAACAAGTCATATAGGCAGATGAGATTGGATTCGCCTAAGAATTAAAAATTTTTATCAAGTTCAATTGGAAGCCTGTTGCTAACGTACTTCTCTTGGCCTCCACGCTTCGCTGCACAAACTGCACATATTGATGCAATGCATTGTCCTCCGTCTCCTCGTAATGCAAGATTATGTACTTGCGCAGCTCATGGGTGTACTTTTCGTCGCCGGGAGCGGACACCACTCCAGCCGAGTACCACAGGCATATACGCAAATAATCCAGAAGCTCCTCGTAGACTTCCAGACTGTAGGGTAGCTTTGTGCGACCAACTACCACACAGGCCGTGTTCTTCTTAAGGCGTTTATCGGCCATCTCATGAACGTGCGACATCATCACCTTGAAGCTGGGTAGCAGGACTCTACGCTGCTCCAGGGACAGGTGATTGAAGTCACTTATGGATTCGCTGTTTATGCGGTTTTTAGTCTGATCGATGGAAGAGAGCATGCTGTAATTCACGTGATCTTTCTTCGATGTGCCGTACAAGTAAGTGGTCACATTCTCGCGTAGGGAATTCCTGAAAAATGATAATTTATAAAAAAAATTTAATCCATAAATCTATAACAAACATACCGCTCCCCTGCGATTAGTAGCAAAAGGTATCTGGCTGGTGCATAATACTCCGGATAACAGCTGGTGAGGAAAACACTGGTTACATTCTGCACTATCTGCACCTTGGACTCCGCATTGTCCAGCAGCATGGCCAATAGCAGGTGCTGCTGGCCATCCAGTTTCACGCTTGAGGAATCGACGACCTCATCGACCTCCATTGCATCGCTCTTTTCCTTTGTCTTCCAAGCGAATGCGGGAGCCATCGAAACCAATGCTTCCCTTATGGATGAATGCAATTCTGGTGCACAGCTGGCCAGGTTGTTGAAGTACCCAAGGACTAGTTTCAGATCCTGGCTCACGTCTTGCGGAAAGCTGCGAGCATGTTGCGCCAATGCGGAATACGCTGCATTTTGCACATCATTCGGTTCATTGGAGTCCCGCCCAATGACTTTGGTGATGCCGGTAAG